TACAAACAACCATCATGAGTGTAACTTTAGGAATTGAATCGGCGATACGCATGATTCCGACCTTTACGGGGGGATCTGAGGCAGACTTAGCATCTTACCTAGTTGACTGTAACTATATTATGGAAAACGTCCACGAAAACCTTAAACCAATGATTTTTAAGCGAATGCTAACAAGTATAAAGGGGGACGCATTTCAAGCCGTACGCTACCGCACAATTTCAGATTGGCCTGCACTCGAAGCGCATCTTCGAAAAGTATTCGGGTCAGCACACTCAATCGGGTTTTTACAAACAAACTTATAAAATATTAAACAAAGGTACGACGAAGATATTAAAAGCTTCGCCGGACGCACCGAAAAATGTTACCACGATTTAGTAAGCGCGCTAACGGTAGGATTAAATAATAATGACGCCGCAGCAGTCGCAAACACACATAAATCGGGGGCACGCAATGCATTTATTAACGGGGCGCAACCAGCAATTAGAAGTTTATTACGGGCACGAAACGTCCTTACTCTCGAAGAAGCGATTACACTTGCTATCGAAGAAGAAGAGGATATACGAAATTTAAATAGACGTTTTAACAATAATAAAATTGACGGGAAAACACACGCGAATAAACGAAATATTAAATGTAATAAATGTAGCAAAATGGGGCATTATGCAAACGAGTGTCGTAGTAACGCGAGCACATCAGGCAGCACAGGTTTTAGAAATCCCATAAATCACCGCGACGAAAAACCCGTCCGAATAAAAAACGAGTATCAAGGGCAAATCAGGTTCTGCGCGTACTGTAAGAAAACGAATCACAACATAAAAGATTGTAGAAAACGCATTTATAATGAAAGTAAAAAAACCACTAGTAAAGAAACCGAAAGTCCTAGCACGAGCCGTACCGTGAACGAGATTAGCCAAAATCACGTAAGAGTGGTAGCCAATTTCGAAGAGGAACACATAACATGTGAATCCGACAATTTCCAACCTCGTAATATCAAATTATTAGTTGACTCCGGCGCAGAAATGAATCTAATTAAAATAACTGCGTTAGAGGGACAAGTAGTCATAAACGAATCCGAAAAACGTACCATAAAAGGCATTAACGAAATTCCGATTTTTACCGTAGGTACTATGGTAACCACTATGCAAATTAACAAGGTCAACGTGTTAATAAAATTCGACGTCGTTTTCGGCGACTTCCCAATAAATGAGTCGGGCATCATCGGTCATAACTTTTTGAAACAAAACAAGGTTATCATGGACTATAGCCAAAATCTATTAACGATACCAGAAGAAACTGGTTTTAAAGAAATTATATTGCCGCCGCGTAGTAACTGCGTTTTATTAATTAAAAACGACGAGAATATTAAACACGACACGGTAACTATAAAAAAACAAGACGTAAACGAAAACGTAATAATCGCGAACAGCATAAGTCCGGTCAATAAAAATAACATTATTAGTAATATAATAAATATTTCCGAGGAACCTTTTATTATTGACGAATTAACAACGCGACATATTGAATGGGAACCGTACAACGAAACCGTACTTAAAGCATCCTTTATAGACAATGAAGAAACGGACCGTATAACGAAATTAAAAACCGAAATTAAAACGGACGATTTAAATAAAGAGGAACGCGATAATATTTTAGAACTCTGTTGCAATTATGCGGACCTGTTTTACTTACCAGGCGACTATTTAAGCGCTACTGACGTTGTAACACATACAATAAACACGCCGCGATGCACGAAACCAATTAATATACGACCGTATCGTTTACCTTGGGCGTACCAAGAAGAAATTGAAAAACAGATTAAGGAAATGAAAAATGACAATATAATACGCGATTCTAAATCACCATTTAACTTTCCACTAGTAGTAGTAAAGAAAAAGAATTTGGATTCAACAGGGAAACCCAAATTACGAATCTGTGTTGATTTCCGAAAGCTCAACGAAGTAACCGAGAACGAAGCATACTACCGAACTTGCTCGAAATTCTCGAATCACTAGGGTCATCTAAATATTTTAGTACTCTAGATCTCGCTTCAGGATATCACCAAATTAACATAGATCCATCCGATATGCATAAGACAGCTTTTTCTACAAAATCCGGTCACTATGAATATTTACGTATGCCATTCGGATTAAGCTCAGCACCAGCTACTTTTACTCGCGCGATGAAATCTGTTCTTATGGGTCTTGAGGAAATGTGTACCGCGTACCTTGACGATATTGTAGTACACGGGTCTAGTTTAAATGACCACCAACAGAAACTCGAACAGGTTTTCAATCGATTACGCATCCATAAATTAAAATTACAACCACAAAAGTGTTCTTTCTTACGGAAAGAAGTTATCTATTTGGGGCATGTAATTAACGAGAACGGGGTGTCACCCGATCCAAATAAATTAAAATGTATTAAAGAGTATCCAAAACCTAAAAACGCAAAAGATATAAAATCATTTTTAGGATTACTAAACTACTACAGACGTTTTGTTGATAACTTTGCGAAAACAGCAAAACCACTAACCTACTTACTCAAAAAAGACGTACCATTTATATGGTCTGACAATTGCGAACATAGTTTTCAAGAACTTAAAAAAGCTTTAATGAACCCGCCATTACTAGTCTACCCAGACTGGGAAGCAGGAAAGTTTAACTTGTGTACTGACGCATCGCAATATGCCATAGGAGCCGTACTTTCTCAAGGGGACGTACCTAAGGACCAACCTATAGCTTACGCGAGTAGAACACTAAATAAAGCCGAGAATAATTATAGCGTTATTCAAAAAGAATTGTTAGCCATCGTATGGGCCGTGAAATATTTTAGACCATATCTCTATGGTCGACATTTTACTATAATAACTGATCACCGACCTCTAACATACCTGTTTGGTATTAAAGACGCATCGTCCCAGCTAATGCGCTGGCGATTGCAGTTGGCAGACTACGACTATGATATTAAGTATAGGGCAGGGCCGGAACACTCAAACGCGGACTGTTTATCGCGTATACGAGTTGATACGGAACGCCTTTCCGGGACGTCCGTGATCGTGAATAACAATGCGTTGTGTATCGTTATGGTATCGTTTATTATATAAATATAACCAATAAATAATGTTTATAATGATCGGGGCAAGTTATCCCGGGCCGCGCGGCAGGCTTGAAGAAGCGGCCGCGGCGGGCGGGTTCGGGCCTGAAGAGGCGCGAGCAAAACAACAGTCGGGACTTGCCTATACGTATTGTAGAAATAATACAATAATAGGGGAGAGTAGGAACCGTCCGTGCACGTAGGGATGCGCAAAATATATCGATATTATCGTTTCATCGATATTGTGTGTTCGATATATCGAAAATATCGCATCGATATTTTAGTTTCGATATATCGATGAACATCGATGCACATCGATGCACATCGATATATAATATATTTACAAACTACCTACCATTATTAGCACAGGTCTATCATCGAATATAAATAGATATAGTAAAAAAAAAATATGTACCCAACCACAAAGTGTACGATAATATATATGTATATGTACGATAATATTATAACTTACAACCCAACCACAATGTGCACGATAATATATATGTATATACGATAATATTATTACTGTATGAAATAGATAATTTGATCATACAACCGTTTCAAACGCTACGAAACCGACTTCCTTTATGACTTTGTCGCAACAAAATCTAATAAATCAAGAAAATAAGATAAAATTGCTATCATTTTGGTATATCCCGAAGTTGACCAGTACATATAGAATCTATAAATTATCTTAGTATTAAACGTTGTGCCTTTACCTTTTTGTCGCGCACTGTGTATACTGTATAATAATATATAAGTTTCTCTTTTGCATTATTTTAAAAATGAGTTTAAACCTAACTGACATAAATGAAATTTCAAAATGGAGTTCTCCGCGTATTCTCCAATATTTTACAAAACTAAGTCAATATATGTACAAATGTAATATTTGTACTAAAACTTATAAAACACCAAATGGTGGTGTTCAAAATTTAAGAAGCCATTTAATAACGGAAGCTAAAAAAGGACGGGATTCTAATGAAAAAAAAAGAAAACTGCAACCGACATTGCAAAATATGAACACCAAAAAAATAATATTAGAAAAAGTAAATGAAGGTAAGTATCGCTTTTTTTTATATAAAAAAAAATATTTTATTACTTTTAAATTAAATACATAGATACATAGATACAAATATAGGTACACGGTGTACCGTACACCCCCTATTGACTGAAATTTTTCGAATTACAATTTTATAAATTATAAATAGATGAGAACAATATTGATGATCCATTACCTGTAAAATCTACACCGTCAATAGAGGTGGATAATAATACACCAATTGAACATCCGAATCCTATAAAAAAAACGCAGCAAACATTACCAAATATGTATTCTAACATTTCTTCGTTCGCTGCAGGTACCTAATCATTAATCAACACTAATTTATTATATTTGTACATAATATAATTATTAATATGAAATAGAAAATTAATTAACAAATGCAATACTCTTATAAAAATAATATGTTTTATAATATTATTAATGTAGCTGATGGTTCAAATACTGTTAAGATAACCGATGCAATAGTATATTATTTTTGCAAAGAAAATGTCCCATTTGACACGATTGAAAGTGATGGTTTTCGGAATTTACTTCAAACGCTATGCCCACTTTACAAAATTCCAAGTCGTGATACAATTAAAAGACGAGTAGATGAAAAATATAGTGTGCTGTCAACCCAATTTCGTGACAAACTTGCACAAGTCCAAAATGTTACTCTTACAACCGATATTTGGACTGAAACAATGCAAATGCGGAGTTTTATTGGTGTAACTGTACATTTTATTGAAGGGACTAACATTGAATCTGGTAATTTTTCATAATTTCTAGTTTTATTTCTTTATATAAAAATAATTTTCTTTACTCCAGGAGTAATTGGAGTCACAGAACTTCATGAAAGTCATACTGCAGATTACTTGGTTGAAGTGTTCATAAATCATTTATTAGATTGGGGTATTGACCAAAATCAAGTAATGGCTGTAGTAACAGATAGTGGGGCAAATATAAAAAAAGCGGTAGTTGATTATTTTGGTGAAAAGCGTCATTTGTCGTGTTTAGCACATACTATGAATTTGATAGTCGAAAAAAGTATTTGCAAAACCCAGGAAGAAAATCCCAAAACAAAAGTTAAAACTGGAGGAGTACCTGATTTATTAAATAAAGTGAGATCCATTGTAAAATATTTTAAAAAAAGTACCAAAGTGTGTGACGAATTAAGACGTCTTCAAAAGTCTGAAGGTAACAAGGCAATTGACTAATATAGTATAATAAATAAATTTAATTAATATAAATGCAATTTACAGGAATATCAGAAGGAAAATATAAAAAGTTAATACTTGATGTACAAACCCGATGGAACAGCTCATTTTATATGATCGAACGTTTTATTGATATGTCAAGTATTATATCGAGTATTTTACTTTCACGGACGGGAAACGAAGTTCCAGAAATGTTATCTGCACGCGATCTTCAGAGTCTAAAAGAAGTTTGTATGCTACTTGGGGTACTTGAAAAGTTAACAAGAGAACTGTCGACGGAAAAATATGTTATGTCCAGTAAGATTATTCCTATATTAGTATGTACACAAAATTTGATCAAAAATCAAAAACCAACTTTTTCTGTGGCGAAAAACTTACAAACTAAACTTTTAGAAGAGTTCACTTATAGGTGTGGCAAATTTGAATATAATCCTATACTCTCTATATGCTCTATACTTGATCCTAGGTTTAAGGATATTTATTTTTTAGAACCACAGGCAAAGTCTAAAGTTATTAGTTCTTTGGTAAGTATGATTGAGAAACTCCACCCTCAATTAACTAATTATTGCGATACGAATAATATGAATATTGAGCATAATAATGAAATTAATATTAATAGTAGTATGGATCTTTGGAGTTTACATAAAACTCTAGAACAAGAGCATAGAAATAAAACTAAGTCTGGATCGCACGCGAGAGATGAGATAAGGTCATATTTAGATAAAGGAGTTGTTGGGCTCAAAGATGAACCAATTATTGTATGGGAAAATATTAAAGGCGCATTTCCAAATTTATACACTTTAGCCAGAAAGTATTTATCTATATCAGCGACATCAGTGCCTTCGGAACGACTTTTTAGTAGAACCGGAAACATAATGACCAAAAGTCGAAACAGATTATTGGGATCAAGATTATCAAAATTAGTATTTTTACAGTCTTTAGACAATAAATATTGGCAGTAAAATGTAAATAGGTAACCATTATTAATTTTTATTTTTATTATTAATGAAATTTTAACATTATATTATAATATCTCGACAATTTTATACATAGTTTTAATAATAAATATTTATTTTTATTTTTTTTTACTAATAGGATTTTAACATTATATTATTATTATCATATTATTATATCCACGAAAATAAATAAAACGAAATAGATAGATAATAATTACCAATTCCTTTTATACTTCACCTTAATTTTCCTTCTATGTTATATATTATAATGTTACATTAATGTTATGAAGACGAAAATTACGTTTTCAATATCTTTAATATAAAGCTACAGTAATTATATTATAATATAAGTGGATGATAACTATTTATTCGCACATAAAATAAATATCGATATATCGATACATCGATATTTTTCGTTCTATAAAATATCGTGTATCGATATTTTAGACGCCGATATATCGGTACATCGATATATCGATGTATTCTGGTTTTTGCGCATCCCTACGTGCACGGACTCGAGCAAGTCGTGTGGGTTCGGTTCTTCCTCGCGGTGAAACTCGAATAAGCTCACCGTAGGGGGGAACGTGGTATTACTTGTCGGCTTGCTGAATAGTCGATTGGCCAAGCTACGTCGCGAAGTCGGTTCCCGGCGTGTCTTGGTGTTCGTCCGATGGCGTGACCGGACTCGAATGAACGGGTGGACTGACAGTAATGAATCGCCGGAGTATAATTGTATTATACGCTGCCGTCGATGGGTTAATCAGGTCCCGGTGTGGCGGCTATCCGTTGTCGTCGATCGCTGGATGCACACGGTAGGCTTGGCGTCGTCGGTCGGTGAAGTGGCGCTTATTAGCCAGGTATGCCGGGTACTATTGAGTCTCGGCGGTATCGAGCGTTCACGCTAGACCGGTGCGTTCAGAGTGCGTCGTCGTGGACTGGTTAGGTCGGATCTGCTTCGCCGGCGTCGTTCAGGTCGGTGTTGCTGCTGCGTTGATAGTCTTCGGGTCTTCAGGTCTTCGGGTCTTCTATAGTGCTTGTTGAGTGTTGACTTGTAGAAGATATGTTGAAGACTGGTGTGGAAGATGATTTGACCGGTGAACTGTCCCGGTATATATACTATTTGTTTCTCTTTGTTGTCCTGTGATTGGTCGAGGCTGGTTGCTTTGACAAGCAATAACCACACCTCGACCCGTTGGTGTTCGCTTTGTTAATGTGGTTTTCGCTTGTTATTTCCGTGAAACTTTCCTGTTGACAAACTACTTATTCTGATATGTCGCGTCTATTACTTGTGTCGTATTACGTTGCCATACTGTTGTGTTAGGTGGTCCTGAAAAGGACCATTTTGATATAGTGACGGTTTATCCCGTTACAGAGTAGTGCAAACCGGTAATGCAATCAAAGACGATAGTTTCGTAGAATTTCAAGCCGCGGAGAATAAACCGATTTTTAATTCAAAAATTATAGAAATAGACGATCACCTTGATCAGGTCATTGAGAGCGAAAACATAATTATTCCTATACCAGGAGATAAAAAAATAACCAGTCCCGAAATAAGAAATATCATTAAAAATAGGGACATAAATAATATTCAATTCACGGATGAAAACCGGTTTTGTGTAGTCTCGGATTCACCACCGGTCATCATTTTTTATAATATGTTAAAATCACATAACACGCCTCTCGAACCAGAGGGCGTATTTCAAGCAATAAAGGACATTAAGACCTATTGTATAAATAACAACATAAACGCCTTTTCAACAATTAAATTAGACGGACACTCCTCTTTAACCAGTTA